CTTCAACTCTTATAGTAATTTCTTCAACAAAAGAGAGGGAACGGTGACTTGGCCACCGTATTGTTTCAGCCGCAACATGTGGCTGAAGTGTTCTTGGGTTTTTCATCTCCACACCCAGCAGTGACTCAGTGTTTAGCCTTAGGCCACACAGCTTAACATAGCCTCGTTTCTTGAGGATGAAAAGATATTAAAACCTTTCTGACCTCTGAAGGATTAAGTAGTACAAAGTATTATCTGCTGTCAAAAATTATAATATACGTGCGGTTACGGTCTCTTTGAAATAGACACCATCAAAGATCTGGGATAGGCAGGGAGCAAGAAACATTTCAGAAGTACTTTCCAAGTGTATGGAACCCCTCCAAGTGTATTTGGGTTCAGTGTGAACTTGATCATTCAGGTACGAGTATTTCTCGTGAGCCTTGACTGATGTGAGCTCTGAGGCAGGTGGGACATGTGTAGAGGCTGATAGAGTAAGGGGTTGTGTCGCAATTCATGGGCCCACTGGGAGGCCCAGCCTCGCGCAGAATTGTCTGTGACTAAGGAAAGAATCTCTCTCTAGGTCTTTCAGGTGAAGGTGAAAATAGAGAAGACCTCTGTGGCTCGCTTAGGGTGCTGAGCCGGTTCCCCCAGGGTCCCAGGGGTCTGTTACCCACCATTCTCTATCTGTCTATGCAACTGCTCTGAGGGAGCAGAAGCTGTCATTTTCTGAAAAACCCGTACTTAAGGCATTCTTGGCAGGATTCACCTCCTATGAACAGAGAAGATGATTTCAGAATGAATCGCATGGTTACAACTGTTACGGGGCGATGGTTCTCACACTGCGGCCCCCCAGGTAGCAGCAGCAACATCGCCTTGGAATTTGTCAGAAATGCCAATCCGTGGGCCCCACTCCAGACCTACCAAATTAGGATCTCTGGGGACAGAGTGCAGCAGTCTGTGTTTTCACAAGCCGTCTGGAAGAATCTGATGCACACTGAAATTTGAGAACCATTGTTGAAGGGGTTCATTCGTCAGCAAGAGGCCAGACCAGAACTATCAAAAAAATGGAAGCAAATAAAAAAAACAAAAACAAAACTTTTTCTATACTTGAAATTACTCTTAGGTTTGTATGATGACTCTCCTCAGAAGCATGGTCAGGGGCCTGAGGTGAGGACAACTAGAATATGTATCAGATGTAAATTCAGATTCTAGTATTGCATTTCTGGATAAATGAAGTGAAGAAAACTTTAATACAAACGGAAAACTTGGGGAGGTAGGAAAACAGAGCAAAACAAACAAACGAAACACAAAAGAATGGAAAATTTCACTTCGCTTACAGCCTATAAAGAAGAAACATTATATACAAGCCAAGGAGTTGAGCTTGGTTCCAGAGCCAATGAAGAATGAAAGTTGGGGCACTTGGGTGGCTCAGCTGGTTAAGCGTTCAACTCGGCTCAGGTCACGATCTCGCGGTTCATGAGTTCGAGTCCCGCCTGGCGCTCTGTGCTGACAGCTCGGAGCCTGGAGCCCGCTTCGGATTCTGTGTCTCCCTCTCTCTTTGCCCTTCCCTCACTTACGCTCTGTCTCTCTCTCTGTCTCAAAAATAAACCTTAAAATTTTTTTTTTAAAAATAGTGACAGTTTTAGTTTAAGCAGGGGAATGTTGTGACGAGATCTGACTTTTAGAAATTTAACTCTGGCAGGTCTTTAGGAGATGGTATAAAGAGTGATGGCACTTAGGAGACGGTCGGATGGGGGTGGGAGCTGGATGCAGGGAGACGAAGGGTACGACTGTGAGAAATTCTAGGTCTGCTCCAGATCAACCAAGGGAGTGGGGATAGGTGTGGAGGGCAGAAGTCCTTCCATTTCCGTCCCCAAACCACCGCTTCAGGCTCATTTCTGTCACCTCCCCCCCCCCCCCTTGTATATCCTGTGTTGTGTTCTTGCATGAATACTGTAGCATTCTAGGCTGTTGTGCTCACTCATCCATTGCATAGTTGGTGTCTTTCTCTTTTTCCAGAAACAAACTCCTACTTATCTTTAGAGAGCCAAGTCTACTTTCCTGATCTCTGTCATTCCTTCCTCACTTCCCCTTTCTTGAGTTCTTTGCTCTGTCTTCTGTATTCCAATAGTACTTGCTCGTATATTTGCTATAGACAGATGTGTCCATGTTCAATTGTTATTCATATTCATCTGTTCAGGTGGTTGCTTTTTCCTATTAAACTTAGAGCTCTTTGGGGATGGGGACAATATCTACTTGTTCACTTATCCCACCAACATTTTTTAAGCTCCTGGTTTGTGTCTGTTCTGACAGAACAGGGAAAATCTTCGCTACGGCGAAGAGGGAGATAGAAAAACAAATAGGAAACAGAGAACCAGTTAATATGTATTATGACAGGGAGAAAAATAAAGCAGGATAGGAGGATGGGAATTGCTATCTTATGTAGTCAAGAAAGATCTCACTTAAGACAAAAAAAAAAAAAAAAAAAAAAAAGGAACCAAACCTTGCAAACCTGCAAACGGAGAAGATAAGCAATATAATGTAAAGCTCAGAATCTTGCCTACTAGCATTTAACGTACATAAAAAAAAATAGAGAAAGAACTCACTTTAAAAGATCACATTGGAGCAAAGACCCGAAGGAGGTGAAGGAGTGAGCTTTGTGGATGTGCAGGGGGAGGAGTGTTCCAGGAAAAGGGACTGCACGTGCAATGACCCTGAGGTGAGAGTGGGCTTGGCCTGTTCAAGGAATGGACACGGAAGAGAGCAGTGATAGAGGAGGCCAGAGAAGTGGTGGGGAAGTAGGTCATAAAGGGCCTGGTAGGATTGTTAGGATTTAGCCTTCACTCTCAGTGACAGGGAGGCCATTGACACTTTTGGATATAATGTGTCATAATCTGGTTTATGTTTTATATTTTTATTTATTATTTTTTAAAAGTTTATTTTAGAGGGAGAATGTGAGTGGGGGAGGGGCAGAGGGAGGGAGGGAGAGAGAGAGAGAGTGTGACATCTTAAGCACACTCCATGCTCAGGGAGGAAGCCCTACGCAGAGCTCCATTTCACAACACTGGGACCATGACCTGTGGTCGGTCAGTTCAGGAGTCAGACGTTCAACAGACTGAGCCATCCAGGAGGCCCTGGTTTATGGTTTAAAAGTATCATTTGGCTGCACCAGTGAGAATAAACCACAGAGATTAGGGGTGAAGGAAGGAATGTGCTGAGGACACTATTATAATGACACATGCAAGATGGTGACAGGGAGTAAGGTGGTAGCATTAGAGGTGATGAGAAATGGTGGGATTCTGGATTTACTGTGAAGGTGATATGATTTGCTATTCAACTAGATATGGGATATGAAAGAGAGGAATCAAGAGAATTGAAAAAGGAAGCCCTTTTACACTTTTAGGGGGAATGTAAATTGGTACAGCCAGTATAGGAAACAGCATGGAGGTTCCTCAAACTATTAAAACTAGAGCTCCCATATATATGATCCAGCAATCTCACTGTTGGTTTTTATCCAAAGGAAATGAAAACAGGATCTTGAAGAGACATCTACACTCCTAAGTTCATTGCAGTGTTAGTCACGAAGCCAAGATGTGGAAGCAACCTAAGTGTCCATTGATGGATACAGGGATAAAGAAAATATGATGTGTGTATATACATAATGGAGTATTATCTAGCCCTATGAAAGAAGGAGATCCTGCCATTTGTAATGTAATGGGCGAAACTGCAGGACATTATGCTAAATGAAATAAACCAGACACAGAAAGACAAATGCGGCATGATCTAACTTACGGAATTATGAAAAGTCAAACTTTTAGAAATTAGAGAGTGGAAGAGTGGTCACCAAAGGCTGGTGGTTGGGGGGAAATGGAGAGATGTTGGTCAAAGAAACATTCAGATATAAGATGATAAGTTCTGGAGACCTAATGTACAGTATGGTGACTATAGTTAATAATACTGTCTTACTAAAGTATTAAATATTATATTGTATATTGCATTGAATATATTATTGAGATTTGCTAAGAGGGTAGATCTCAAGTGTTCTCATCTCAAAAATAAACATATCTATGTGAGATGATGACTATGTTAATTATCTTGATTATGGTCATCATTTCACCATGTATATGTACACTTACTACTTTTTCTCCCCGTTTCTTCTTCACATTCTCCTGAACGATTTTATAGAATTTTGTATGTTTACTGTAGAATTTGTTCCATGTTTGGATAGTTTTAACAGAACACAAATTATGTGCATTTTCTGACTTCTATTATTCCTCTGTGGTATTCTCCATCCCCTAAAATACCCTCAGTAATACCTGAAATAACCTGGGTATAAGTAACCTGTTACCTCAATATCCATGACTCTATAGAATGTGACTGTAGAGGAGAAGGTTTCTTTCTTTCTTTTTTTAATGTTTATTTATTTTGAGACAGAGAGAAAGTGTGAGCAGGGGAGGGGCAGAGAGAGGGAGAGAGAGAATCTTAAGGAGGTTCCACACCCAGCATGGGGCCCAACATGGGGCTCCATCCCACAACCCTGGGATCCTGACCTGAGCTGAAATCAAGTTGGTCGCTTAACTGACTGAGCCACCCAGGGCCCCGAGGAGAAGGCTTCTGATGAGGACATTTGTTCATCGTTAGCTATTCGAGATCATTTGAAGAGATACTTTTTCCCAGCCTGTGCTTTACACGCGAAACCAAGAATTTGCCAATTGCGAATAGCTGACAAACCGTGTGTTTATTATAAAAGGAGGGCCTAGGAGAACTTGGCGTAACTGAGAACATCTGCCATATTATGGAAATTAACTTTTCACTTCCAAAGCAAAGTTTCATACAACCCACTTCATTTGAACTCTCTGTTGAAGAAATCTCCAATTTTGCCAAAACACTCACACAGAGAGATTTTGGAATTATTCGTTGTACTGGTCTAGTCTGAATTGAGGGATAAATACTTGAACACGCTCAATCTCCTTAATTAGTGTGTGTCACTGTCAGCTCCTAATATACTAAAGATCATAGGATTATCCTTTAATAATGACTAAGGTGAGAACAAAGAGGAGAAGAGCTGCACAGGCCCTTTTAAGCCAAAATGGCACAGAGGATGGAGGCTGGTCACAGATGAGGGTTCGAGTCCTCAGGGGCTTGATGATCCACTCTCTCTGGGTCAGGATGGCTCTCCGGGCCCCAGCCCACTTCCCTGGCCCCTGCAGGCGGTACTGGTAAGGCGTGCATGGGCCAAAGGAAATTTCTATAGCCAGCTTTGGATCCCACAGGAAGATGGAGGGCAGGTTGGGTTTCGCTCCTATTTCAGAGGCAATCTCATCCATGTATTCCACGTATTGCACTCTGCATGTGTCGCGAGGATTATTCAGGAATCTGAAAGCAGAAGGGGAAAAAAACCGCAGTCAGAAACCTCAAGTCAGATGACAACCTCCTTCCTTCCAAGCATAATTTCCTCTAAACATCGGTGGACTTTGTGTGAGGGGATAACCCATGGGGGAAAGGACTGATGGCTACGGGTAATTTCTTAGTGGTTCCTTTTCTTTAAAATTTTTCTTGTTTATTTATTTACTTCTGAGAGAGAGAGAGAGAGAGAGAGAGAGCACACAAGCAGAGGAAGGGCAGAGAGAGAGGGAGAGAGAGAATCCTGGGCAGGCTCAGCACTTCCAGCACAGAGCCCGACATGGGGCTCAATCCCATGAACCACAAGATCACAACCTGAGCCAAAATCAAGAGTCAGATGCTTAACTGACTGAGCCACCCAGGCGCTCCTCTCAGTGGTTTCTAACAAAATATTCACACACTGTATTTTTCATCCTCAAATCCTTCCCAGAGTCTTGGATGGTAATAGGTGGGTTTCAGAAGATTGTTATTATATTAATGGTATTCTTTTCTTAAATCCTGTACTTTGGCCATTCATTGGATTCTCATTCAGGGTATAGTCTCATTTTGGTAAATTGGTGGGGAATATGAAATTGTACATGCCAGTTATTTAGGTATGTGTGACATTCATTTGCTTTTAAGTATTACTAAAATGTAATTCCTGGCCGACCTTTTAAACCAGTTGCTGGATAACTGACTCTTTTTGGGATAAACCCTTTGGTCTTAGAGACAGGCTGTAAACATTCACACTGTAAATTCTCAACAGGTATTTGTTGCATAGAAATACCTTACATTTCCCACCTCAGTGGTTGAGAATGATTTTCTATTAAGAAGATTTCATACAACCTATGAGCCTCTGATTTCATGTCAGTATTTTAATTAGATTCTGTAATGATTTGCCAACTCATTTCTCACATTGATTTATCTTTCCAACTCCTTAAAGAAGTAAAACAACCCTTCATTTCATCTTACATTTTTTTACACTTCGCAGCTCTAAGGCTATGATATGACATAAATTTGTAATTGTATTTATCTAGTGTTACATGAATTTTAAACAAGATTCTAAGGTTTCCATATTGGACTATTCTGTATCCATTCTTCCCATAAATATTCCCTACATTTATATTATGTATTATAATAGGAAGAGATGGCGAAGTTGATAATTTGAGATCTCATCTAGGCAAATAGACTCAGATTGTATGATGAGAAAAATAGAAAGAATCTTTGATAGGCAAACAGCTCCACCTAAACACGTCCAATTGACTTTTACTAAGAAGAAAGTTTCTTACTCTTTTTCAAATTTTTTTCTCTTCCATCTTATGTCTGCCATCATGCCACTCACCGAGGTAATTTGTTCAATCCTAGGAAGGAAAGAAGATGAGATTTCAGAAGAAATGAATACCTTGAGGGTCATTTTGGTGGAGAACATCCTAAGCGAGGCAGCACAAGAGTGAGGGAGCTGGATCCAGGAGGTCCTCTTGTGTGCCCTCCACTCATTGTTCCGTCCGATGCAAATGCCTTAGAGATGCAAAGACATGTCCTCTAATGAGTTCACATCTTGACTAGCAGACCCCAAAGCCCACAAAGAAGGATGGACTGAAGGGAATGACACCCAAATGACAAGACAAAAAGTAGCATGCATGTGCTTCCATTATCAGAGCATTCACTCTGGCTGTCCTTTATTTATTTATTCACATATTTTAAGATGTTTATTTACTTAATTTCTGAGAGATAGAGATAGATAGAGAGAGCGCATGAGTGGGGGGAGGGGCGAAGAGAGAGGGAGAGAGAATCCCAAGCAGGCTCTGCATAGGAGAATCCCAAGCAAGGCAGAGCATAGCCTGCCATGAGGCTTGATCCCATGAACTGTGAGATCATGACCTGAGCCCAAATCAAGAGCCGGATGCTTAACATACTAAGCCACTCAGGCTGTCCTTTAAATAGTGAGTTACCCCTGTTCATTTATGTTATGAATTTGTTTACAAATACATATTGTATTTACTAATAAATAGTGACTCAATGTCTCTTGTTTTCATTGGACAAAGATTTATTCTTAATTTTCCATCTTTAAAAAAATTTTTTTTGAATGTTTATTTATTTTTGAGAGAGAGACAGACAGACAGACAGAGCATGAGCAGGGAAGGAACAGAGAGAGAGGGGGAGACACAGAATCTGAAGCAGGTTCCAGGCTTTGAGCTGTCAGCACAGAGCCTGACATGGGGCTCAAACTCACAAACTGTGAGATCATGACCTGAGCTGAAGTTGGACGCTCAACCGACTGAGCCACCCAGGCGCCCCTTAATTTTCCGTCTTAACTCATGGGAGACACCTTCCTATAATTCTCCCTCATTTCTTTGATGAGTGACATTCTATATTTTGAGAAACACAGAATGTTCCGGGAAAATATGGGGAACTTTTTAAAGGAGAAACAAATGAGCAGAATTAATACAATGTGATTGACAAAAGGTAGTTTGTGAATCTGTCTTCATCAATTAATTCTCAACCTTAGAATTAATGATATAGAGGAGCTGGGTTTTCTCTTTCTTTCTTTCTTTCTTTCTTTCTTTCTTTCTTTCTTTCATTTTTAAGTTTATTCATTCATTTTCAGAGAGAGAATACACAGTGAGGGAGGGGCAGAGAAAGAGGGAAAGAGAGAATCCCAAACAGGCTCTGAGTATGGAGCCCAATGAAGGGCTCGAACCCACAGACCGTGAGATCATGGCCTGAGCTGAAGTCAGATGGTTAGCCGACTGAGCCACCCAGGTATCGCTGGGGGAGCTGGGTTTTAATCCCAGGTTTGTCTTGGTACAGAGCTCTTACTCTTTTAATTGTGCTGTGGTGCTACCCCAGTTACTTGGTGATTTGGCCATAGTTCACATAATTCACATAATTTACCATTCATAATTCTGTGACTCTGCCTGTCCTCTTTTATTTTGAACGTGAGAGGTGAAAAAATGCTCCCTTTAATTTAGGCTCATTCCAGAATTATTCTAGCAACAATTGAGAAGTAACATAGCCATTATTTCCCATCTATACTTTAGGTTGAGCTCTTTCTTCTACTTCCATCACTTCCTCTACTAGGTACTGCCCTAACGTGCTGTGCTCTGAAGAATTATTTGCCAATAAGTTGTCACTTGATCGTAGCTTAAGGTAGTTTTTTAATCTCCATTTTTCATGGGAATCCTAAAGGTTAAATAGCTATCAAACACTGACATAACAAATACGAAGTGGTACAATTTTGGATACTGTAAAGGTTAACTTCACATATGTTTTGCAGCAGAAGACCTTTGCAATGCCTCTGAAATCACCTCTTTGGGTGGTCACCTTTTCCAAATATGCATAAGGTCAGCGCATACCCTTGAATACACGCATGGCCCATCAGCTCTGGAGTTCCGATGTGGAAATGGTGGCTCCCACTGGCTGGAGGATGCCAATGAAAGCTAGTGTTGGTTTCTCTAGTTGAGGGGGGAAGACAAATTTAAACATGGAGTGCTGGCTGTCCAGAACTGTTGCATTGTTTTCCAAAAAGGGAAAAGAGAAACTATATCCTGTGGCAAAAATAACAACATCAAGGTCCTCTTCTGTACCATCTCCAAAGATGGCTGACGTCTCTGTGAACTCCCTAACATCTGATTTTATCAGAACTCTTCCAGATATTATGTGATTGGGTAGATCATCACCACAAGTAGCTTGATGACTGAGAAGTCTGAAGAATAAAAATTGAAATTCAGGAAAATTAATATGTCTTTTGGGATAGGAGTTGAGCTCAAAAATATTTCAAATATTTTTTGGTTGAACTAAAGAAAAAAAACTTGCATTTTTGTTTTATAAAAAATTTCTTGGGGCGCCTGGGTGGCGCAGTCGGTTAAGCGTCCGACTTCAGCCAGGTCACAATCTCGCGGTCTGTGAGTTCGAGCCCCGCGTCGGGCTCTGGGCTGATGGCTCAGAGCCTGGAGCCTGTTTCCGATTCTGTGTCTCCCTCTCTCTCTGCCCCTCCCCCGTTCATGCTCTGTCTCTCTCTGTCCCAAAAATAAATAAACGTTGAAAAAAAAATTAAAAAACAAACAAACAAACAAACAAACAAAAATTTCTTTAAGTCAATACTTTTTCTGAATTGTTTACTGAATAAATATCCTGTACTTATTAGAATGCCAATAGCATTTATTTTATACTTATTATATGCAAAGAGAAGATTTTGCAATGGTATATAAGTTTATGCCAATGATAATATTGACATATAATTTCTTGGAAACCATTTTTTGGGGAAGAGATTTTTTAAAAGCAATTGGTGGAAGTGTTCATACTAGAATAGGAAAATTAGATCATATTCTGATTTCCATTTATTTCAAGAACCTACATACCACTTTTATAAGCTTTACTGACATATTTAATACTCAGTAGTCTCCCTGCTTCTACCCCAGCCTCCCTATAATTTCCCCTCCACTCGGCAACCTGAGGGATCCTTTGAAAACGTAGAATTATATCCTGATGGGTTTCTATTTCACCAAAAATGAAATCGAAAGCTATGACCATGCCCTAATCCTAAAAATCCCCCCGTGATCTGGCTCCTGCCTACATCGGTGAATTTATTTCTTACCACTTCCTCTCCCCCAACAGTCTCTACACTGGGTTGGTTCCTTGCTCATTCCATCCAGCCTTTGAACTTGTGTTTCTTCTGCCCAGAATATTCTCATCTTAGACATTCTTTCAGGTATTGCCTCCTCACTTCCTTCAGGTCCCATTCAAATGCTCTCTCATCATATATACAATCCAGAACCACCCCATCTAGAAAAGATTCCTCTCCCCAACTCTTCTTACTGTTTGTTATAGCACATAAGACTCCACGTCATTGCATTATCCCCTGGTTGGTTTCTCCCCTACTAGAAAGGAGGTCCAGCTAGAGCTAGGACTCCACCTGACCTTGTCCTTATTCTACTCCCAGTATCCAGAAACATACCTGACCATAGTAGGAACTCAGAAATATTTATTAAATTTATCCACACTGTACACAATCAATTTTTTGTGCTTGCACATTTTTACCTCATAACAGATAGGAGATAAGGATTGCATTTTACCAATGTAAAAAAGAAAGAAAGAAAATACTTAACTACACCAGGGTTAAAAGACAGAGGCAAAATTAGTTGTTTTTTTTTTTTTTAATGTTTATTTATTTTTTTGAGAGAGACAGAGACAGAGCTTGAGCGGGGGAGGGGCAGAGAGAGAGGGAGACACAGAATCCGAAGCAGGCTCCAGGCTCCGAGCTGTCAGCACAGAGCCCAATGTGGGGCTTGAACCCACAGACAGTGAGATCATGACCTGAGCCGAAGTCGGACACCCAACCGACTGAGCCACCCAGACGCCCCAAAATTAGTTTTTAAAAAACCTAGAACATACCTGTGTTTAGGTAGTAAGCCATAAATGTCATGGTTAAATCGAGCGTTTAATTTATTCTCTGCCCATCTGTTGATTAAAAACGTAGGGTAAAATTTGTTGAGGATGGTCTTAAAACGAGTGAAGAGAACAGTGTCTATGGGCATTCCATTATCCCAGACCCGGTTCCAAATCCACACACCCTGCCTTGTGCTGAGATACACCTGGGAGAGAATGCAGATAAATGAAATATAGATGCCTCACAGTGTAAGACTTTCCTTTCTCAGTTTTTCAGATGTTCTCATTTGGCTCATGAGAGATGGATAAGAACTCTCTTGCCTTGTTAGCTTGAAGAGTTCCTCTGTCCTCAAAGACAGATAGACAGACAGATACAATCACACACACGCAAACAGACACATTTGGCTTGTGGCTTATAGTTCCAGAAATCTCCCTCAGCTTTCCTCTGAGTTTCACTCACTATCCCTCTTGCATTTTCCCCAAAGCAGTGTTTGATGCCTGCCATCTCTTACATTGCAGATTCTGGACAAACACAATGATGTAAGATGACTAGAGGTCAACAGATTGACATGTAAGATCCCATCCATCTGCTAATTATGATATTATAGAATTTGGAATACGTACTTGGTTACTATGTATCCCTAGAAATCTAGGTATGGAAGGAATCAGAGTTGGGAGATGTATCAAGTGTCGTATCAGTGAAAAATAAAGGGATTTAAAGTGGTTTTCTGATATGGTTCATTTTTTTTTAATATATTTTTTTAACATTTATTTATTTTTGAGAGATACAGAGACAGAGTGCAAGCAGAGGAAGAGTGGAGAGAGAGGGAGACACAGAATCCGAAGCTGAGCTGTCAGCACAGAGCCCAACACGGGGCTCGAACTCATGAACCGTGAGATCATGACCTGAGCTGAAGTCGGTGGCTTAACTGACTGAGCCACCCAGGCACCCTTGATGTAGTTCATTTTTTTAACTTGTGGCTGCACCAGTGAAGCTGACACTCTCTGGTGAAAATAATATGGCGGTCCCTAAAGTTTGAAATATCGATTTTTATTCAATTCTCATTTTTTAAATGTATTGTCAAGATTGCTACCAAGAAAATGAGTGTGAAGAGGTAATTAACAATCAGGATTGAAGCAGTGTGTGGGTACCCACCACACACACTTCATGCAATGCCAACATCTCAGAGGGCAGTGGGCAGGGTGCATCTCAGGAAAGAGAATTTTAGGAAACAAACCTGTGAAGCTACATGACTGAGCTCAATTGCCAAGTCAGCTCCAGAATTTCCAATGCCAACCACAATGATTTTCTTCCCCTGAAATTTCTCTGGACTCCTGTATTCATAGCTGTGGATATATTGACCTTTGAACCTGTTGATTCCTGTGGGCAAGAATAGAGTTACTCAAGCATTGGTCTTTATGTATGTATGTATATATGTTTGTTTGTTTATTTTAAGAAAAGAGGGAGGGGGAAGGGCAGAGAGAGGGAGAGAGAGAATCCCAAGTAGGCTCTGTGCTATAAGCACAGAACCTGATGAGGGGCTTGATCCCATGAATCTTGAATCATGACCTGAGCCAAAATCAAGTCAGACACTCAACCAACTGAGCCACCCAGGTGCCCCTATATTATTTTTTAAAGCTTATTATTTAATTCAAAGTCCATCCTATTTAAACCTCTCATTTGCTGCTTTACTGATGCTGGCCTGCAGATTGTATCTGCCCAACATCATCAAACAGAATAAATCCTCAAACATTTTTGTTCTAGATCATAAATTCCAAGCTCAAACAAATTATCAGGTTTCTAAACAACTCAGACATCTAATTTCTGCCTCCTTTTTACTTACCTATTTCTTGCCAAGCCTTCATAGGTGAGTTAGGCTCCTATTTAAGTAATGCATCTTCCTTTTCCTTCATCCTTGTTATTTACAATTACTGCTTTGGACCCACTTTCTGTCTTGCTTTCCCAACCCAAGCTTCACCCTTGTCTAGATGTTTCCATCTCAGGCTAGGCCCAGCACACCCTTCCCACCAGCACTACTCACTCTGCTTTACTACTGGGGACAAACACTCCAACATCACCTATAGGATCTGAAGCTAAAATAATGTAGGAACTTAATATTTTTGCCTAAAAATTTCCTCTGACTTAAATAGAAACCTCATATGGCAAAGCCATAAAAGCTGGTTGATTTTGCAGTATTTCATTTCATTTATTTATTTATTAAAAAAAATTTTTTTTAACGTTTATTCATTTTTAAGAGACAGAGAGAGAGTATGAGCGGGCTCATCACAAGTGCCCTCCTTAATGCCCATCCCCCATTTAGCCCGTTCCCCCCACCTACCTCCCTCCATCAACCCTCAGTGTATTCTCTATCATTAAGAATCTCTTAGGGTTTGTCTCCCTGTCTCTTTTTTCCCCCTTTCCATATATTAATTTGTTTTGTTTCTTAAATTCCACATATGAGTGGAATCATGTGGTATTTGTCTTTCTGATTGACTTATTGCACTTAGCAGAATACCCTCCAGTTCCATCCACATTGCTGCAAATGGCAAGGTTTCATTCCTTTTGATGGCTGAGTAATATTCCAGTGTGTGTGTGTGTGTGTGTGTGTGTGTGTGTGTGTGTGTACATATGTTACATCTTTATCCATTCATTAGTTGATGGACATTTGGACTCTTTGCATAGTTTGGCAATTGTTAATAATGCTGCTATAAACATCGGGATGTATGTACTCCTTTGAATCTGAATTTTTGTATCCTTTGGGTAAATACTTAGTAGTGTAATTGTTGGATCATAGGGTGGTTCTATTTTTAACTTTTTAAGGAACTTCCATACTGTTTTCTAGAGTGGCTGCACCAGTTTACATCCCACCAACAATGTAAGAAGGTTCTCCTTTTTTCACATCCTCGCCAACTTGATCACTTTAAATGTTTTGATATATATGCTTTTGGCCTCAGTTTCTCAATCTTTCAGAACCTCTATTATCTACTTATCTATATGCATACATACATACATCTATATACATACATACATATATTGTATTTTAGCACTTTACAATATGTTACGGTTTATAAAGAGTTAAAAAGATTTTTTTAATGTTCATCCATTTTTGAGAGAGAGACAGACAGACAGACAGATAGAGCACAAGCTGGGGAGGGGAAGAGAGAGAGGAGACACAGAATTTGAAACAGGGTCCAGGGTCCAAGCTGTCGGCACCTAACGCAAGGCTCGAACTCACAAACTGTGAGATCATGACCTGACCCGAAGTTGGACACCCAACCAACCAAGCCACCCAGGCACCCCTAAAGAGTTTTTTATATACATTACCTAATTCAATCTTGTGAAGCACATTATCATGCTAATTTTTCAGGAGTCCATACAGCACATAATATCTGTTATGTGTGTTAGCAACCATTCCTGATTTTTTTTGAAACTAAGGCTAGACACTTAAGTGATTTAAGGCTAAGAAAAGAAATACACCACCACTTAAAATATGTTGTTTTCTCCCGGGAAGAATTTATTATAATCTTAAAATATAGTCATTTTAATATATGTACGCAGAAAACACAATTGGGGAGGAGGTTATTTTTTTCATCTGTTGTATATTATTGGTGAAATAAAGAATCAGTAACACATGTACTATGAATATTCTAAACTTGAATCCAGAAAATATGGAATCTAATTCCTGCTAAATCACATCAACTTTAAGAGCAGATCAAAATATGTGTTTTCTCCCTCAAAATGAAGAGTATTGTTTAATAAATGCCATTGCAGTGAACACTCATATATAAAAATATCCCTTCTGAGAAGGATAGCTTCTGCAAACATAAGCAGCATTTTTTATGAGTGAAAGCTTAAAAGATGGGTATCAGATGAGATCAGAGGACATGATGTGGTATTTTGTGGCATTCTGATGTGGTCCTGGAGATATATCGTTGTCTGGCTTGGATAGGGAACCTGACATCAAATCATTTCTCTGAATCTATTTCTTCGCCTGCAAATAAGTGCTTGCCTCTCTCACGGAGTTATTGTGAAGACCAAATCATGCACAAAAAATGCTTAAAAACCTTACACACCTCAACAAGTGCATATAGTGTGCTATGACTAATAGCCTGTGGTGCACAGGGTGCTGTAGATATCGGGCGTGGAGGCTGGAGAAGCTTTCCTAGAGAGAGGCCTGTATTGATTAAGGTCCAACCAGTAAGACGGAAACTGGGGCACCTGGATGGCTCAGTCAGTTAAGCATCCTACTGTTGGTCTTGGCTCAGGTCATGATCTCAGGGTTCCTGAGTTTGAGCCCCGCGTCAGGCTTTGTGCTGACACACGGAGCCTGCTTGGGATTCTCTTTCTGTCTCTCTCTCTCTCTCTCTCTGCCCCTCCCCTGCTCACTCTGTCTGTCTCTCTCAAAATAAATAAATAAACTTAAAAAAAAAAAAAAGAAAGAAAAAGGAACATGGAAACTACTCCCAATACTTGAAACTGGGAATGTAATGGAGGGAATTGTTCTTCCAAAAAAAAAAAAGATAGACCTAAAAAGCCAACTAGGTGTTGGTGAGACATCCCAGAGATTACATTTCTTTTATCCCCACGTGGCAACCTTGGCGGTCGCATGGTCAAGGGGCATAACTCTAAGTTGGAAAAGAACCGCTTAGTCACATCAGACTCTGATGCGGGACAGAAACCGTTATTGTGCTAAGTCCTGGAGATTTCAGAGTTTGTCTGTGGGACAGTTAGTGTTAGCTGCCCTTACTAGCACATATATATTATTAGGATGAAGATCAAAATCTACAGATAGATCAAGCATTAGCATGTATGTGCTAGCTGAAAGCCAAGGTGGGGTGATAAGGAAGAATCCCAAGCTACTTGCAAAAAGTAAAGGACCAGAGGATTGAGAATAGAACCACAATCAGCCACGTTGAGAGGCCAAGTGGAAAACTATCGCGTTGGAAAAGGAGAGAGGAAAAGAGAGTGAAATCACGGAAGCCAGGGACAAGCGGTTTTTAAACTGAGTTGGTTTTTGACACTTTTAGATCCCCTTGAGAAAGCAAGAACACTCAACACAGGAAGTCCATCTGATTTGACAGCTTTGATTGGTAACAGCCGTGAGAGTAGTTTTCTGGGAGGGCTTGTATGCCCACTAGGTAATGCTGGTGGAACTTCAGGAAGTTAGACTCTGTAAGGAGGAAGGACTGTTGGAGCGTCATCCTTGGGGGAAGGAAAGATTGGGATTCGACGCACAGGTGTAGGCACTAATAAAAGTAATAATTATTACGCTGGTAGTTGAGGATAAGTTACTGCTGATATCTTTGCATTCCTACTTCCAGATATGGAAAAGATGTCATCACACATGCGGTGACATAGTCTATTCAGACTTACCTGGTATCTCCACAGTCCTCCAATGTCATTGGTTCCTTCAAAGCAGATGGGCTCCAATCCCTCCTCCAGGCAGATCTTAATGGCCCCTAATCCACTGACCCCAGCACCAATGACCGCAATTCTCTTTCCTGGCATTGTTCCCTGTATCAGGGAATTTATTAGCAGAAAATCAGATTTTTCTTGTCATGGAATTTTCTTCTACAGTTCAACATCATTAGGTTTTTTTTTTTTCTTTCTAAAATTGCTAGTAATGCATTTAAGTAATGTCCTACTCAAAGCTGCTATCCAATTCAAAGGTTCTCTGAGCGACAGAGAACCCTACCTCACACAAGACTTTCTCATTTTCAAGTACAAAGTAGATTGCATAAAAAAAGGTTTGGGGGACCCTGGGTGCCTCAGTCGGTTAAGCGTCCGACTCTTGATTTCAGCTCAGGACAGGTCAAAGATGGAACCCCTTGTGGGCTGAAGATTCTCTCTCGCTGTCCCTCTGCCCCTCCCCTGATCGTGCGCGCGCATGTGCACTCTCTCTCTCTCTCTCTCTTAAAAATAAAAATTGCTTCCTAAAGTTACACACACACAAACACACACACACACACCTCCGTATACAGATTTTGTACAAACTGACTTTTAACTCCTTCTGCTACTACGATCTGCTTGCCAAAACACTCATGTCGGTGACTTTTGCACAATTTACTTTTGATTTAAGCCAGAAGATGCCCACTTTTGCCCTGTGATAGGGTTTGAAGTGGGTGGGAAAAAGAAAACTCCAACAGAGCATTTCATCAAGTAAGTATCGCTCATCTCACTGTTCTTGGGGCGGAGTGCAAGCTACATACATGTAAACGTTCTTCACAAAAGTAGTCCAACCGCCTTCATCCTGAAGGTTCATGTTCTGCCATTTGCTCATTCACTAAACATTTACTGGTATCTACTCTGTTGCAGATATGACTTCAGTTGGGCAGATATAGCAGTGAACAGGTCTAACATAGTTCCTTGAGAACATTCCAGTGACGTAGAGAATAAACAAGGGAGTAAATAAATAGTAAGCTGGATGATGATACACACTATGGAGAAAAATGAAGCAGGGTAGGGGCTGTGGGGAATACAGGAGGCAGGCTATTGTTTTCTATAACACGGTCAGGGAAGGGCTCCCTGATGACACTGAAGCAGGAAGTGGGGGACCAAACCCACCTGTAGGCATCTGAAAGAGAATTCCAAGCAGAGAGTCTGAGGCAGAAACGTGCTGGACATTTTTGAAGAAAATCAAGCGAAGCTTCGTGAGTGGGTGCCAGAAAGGTAGAGGGTACAATGAGGTTGGAGATGAAGTGTTAGGCGTCAGTGTCAGGGTCAAGATCAGGGTCAGGGATCAGATCAGGCAGTGCACTTTTCAACGGATGGAGCAAAGAAAAGATGCGGGCAATATCAACAGGTATTCAGAAATGCCACTTATCTGTAAGTGACTCTGAGGACACCACTCTCCTCACCCTGCCTGCTCTAGGAGCTTGCTCTGTCCTCTGCTACTCAGTTGAAACAAGACGAGACAGAATTTTTTTCCTTCCTTCCTACTTCCTTTCCTTTCCTTCCCTCCGTCCCTCTTCCTTCCTTCCTTCCTTCCTCCCTCCCCTCCTTCCTTTCTAAAATAGTTTTTTAAAACCTTTTTTATTTTTACTTTTATTTATTTATTTTAACATTTATTTATTTTTGGGACAGAGAGAGACAGAGCATGAACGGGG